ACCATGAAAACATAGTAAATTCTTAATGTCTTTTTACAAATTTATTATCTTTATTTATTGGCTTTTTACAAATTTTAAACCATATTAAAATGTTTATGCCTTCAAAATAAAAAAATTCTTAGAACTAGCGTTTGTTAACATTTTTTATGTTAACATTTTTTATGTGTATATTGCATGTTGTCGTCAACAAAGTCTGTTTGGCGAGATTTGCGCCAGTGAAACTGAAAAGTACCTCAGAAACTAAACATAAAGATTAAGTAAATAAATCTGAAGAATTTTTTTAAGGAATGATCTGAGAGCATGAAAAATTAAAATGTATTTTTGAGAAAATATACAACAGTTCCTGAGAAGGATTTACAGGCATCCTTAAAAGTTTCATATTTAATTGCAAAAAATTTAAAACCTCATACAATTGGAGAATCGCTCATTCTTCCTACAGCAATTAAAATGACATAATTTATGCATGCAGAAAAATAACATATAATGATTCAATATCATTTTTATGGGAAAAAAAGACACTTTTGACTGCACAGATTTTCTAGAAATCCCAAGTAAAACACATATGAAATCATTTGTTTACAATCAGTGAACGTTAAAATCAGCTACCTCTCACAATACAATAAAACAGCGACACAATTTCCTACAACAGCCAGCAGTTCCTCCTTTACATGAACAAGAATTTTTTTTTAAAAATTTTATTTGTCCTTTTTGAACAATGAAATGTCCTTCGATTTCATGCGATCAAGACGCTATAGAACTTATCCTTAAATAGAATGCCAAAACTTGTACATTGGATTTCAAGTAAAATTCCGTGCATTACCAAATGATCAGCTTTTTAAAATGCTCTCTGCTTCAGTAATACAGCGAGAATTTACGCCTCCTTGAACAAAATCAAACATTTCGGAAGAGCTAAGTAACTCCATTTTTGAATGTACGAAGTCAGATCACAAATCAAAATACCGAGTTTTATCCGCCATACTAATGTGTGAAAGCGCCATCTATAGGTGAATTGAATCGCAGATAGAATACAAAATCCAGTCTTTACTATAAAACTTGATGAAACTACTGACATTACCAAAATGTTTCAATTCATCGTTTATGTGAGATATGTTTTTGAAATGACGCAGTAGAATATTTTTTATGTTGTAATATTTTGGAAGGAAAAGCAACTGGAGAGAAAATATTTGAAATTATTAACAGACATTTTGAAACAAATAATCTTATCTAGACACACTGTGTCGCAGTTTGTGCTAATGTAAGCTACTTTGGCAAGGAGAATTGAACAAAAAAAAAAAAAAAAAAAAAAAAAAAAAAACAGAAACATGCTTTTCACAATTTACTAAAGAAAATAATACAGATTTCTTGTTTAAAACAACATATGATAAAATTGACAGAAATGTTTTTGAAAAATTTCCAAATAAGGAATTAGGTTGGATCTGTGACCCATTTTGCAGTCAGTATTTTCAATTCCAATGTATGTCTAAATGAAAAAGAACAATTAATTGATATTTTAAGTGATGGAATACTGTATGTTAAGTCTCTAACTCGCCAAAAATTTTAGTTCATTGGAAACTAATATGCCGATTTAAAAGGAATGAAAGTAAATTATTACGTTTCTTACATAAAATTGTACAGTAAACCTTTAGCTTGTATTTAAAACTTCTAAAATGCTTATGTTACATTTTTCTGTTACATAAGCATTGAAAGTAGATTTCTCACTGAAATAGAAATAATTTTTCTATTGAATTAACATGGAGAACTTTTTTATTGAAATATTTTTTCTCTGTGACATTAGTTGCATCTACTACAAAATAAAGATTAAAGAACTGTTTTTAAAACATTTTGAATTCCTTGTCATATTTGATCTATGAAGCACTAGATTAGTGAGTTTTTATTACATTATTGACAATATAGTTTTTTTAAACAATCAAAAATTTTCAGCGGAGATAATTATTTGTCAAATATGAATGTGTTTTCAAAGAGGAAATAAATAATAAGTGATAAAAAGAAACTTCAGTTAGAACATTCACATCTCTAACCAAAGTAATTTGCTTTGATTTAATCTTTATAATACAATATATTTTAAAATGATAAGACAAAATCCAATGTGAAAGGTTATGCGAAGATTACGATAGTACCTAGAGTATTGAGCATTTCGTATAATCCTATAACCAGATAATAATAATATTAAAATAAATTTTATCTGAATGAAGTTTTTTTATTACAGATGCAATTACATAAATGTTAAAAATTATGCAATTACATACACGAATACACTTTCAGACAATATACTTAATACTGTTTACAAGCGCAAGCCAAAGTTCTGTTTATGTTACTTCTCGCCCTTCAGCGCATGCTCAAGAATTACCATCCAGGCGAAACTAGTCGATTTGCCCATGACGTCAAAAATTCGAAAAGTGGGGTAGGGTTTGGAAATACGCGCACGGGACATACGGAGAAGGCTTACTCCCAAGGAGGTTAGAATTCTAACATCCTTGGTCAATATTTCCTCGGCTTCAATTTTGTGACGTCATTCTTACTCGCATCTATTCTAACCTCCATGGTTACGACCGAGAGATCGAAATATGGAGCTTAACGTAAGAATTAGCAGAATTGCAGGTTGCCGTGATATATAGGGTTTTTCAATGAATTTTAATTCGGCATCGGCAGTGCAGTAAAACACAAAACTTTATTTGCAAGAGGAAAAGCCATTTTTATGAAGCAGATTATATAGATATTATATCCATATAATCTCTATTATACAGATATATGGATATAACCTATATTATATCCATCTATGTAATCTATATCATACAGATTGTATAGATATTATACCGCAGAGACTGAAGATACATTCTAAGTTGCCTGAAGTGTCTCTAGTCCCCTGACCAGTGTCTTAAATTAATGAAAAATTTCACGATGAAAATGACCTAAAGGATTCAGAGATACCGAAGTTCAATTTAAGAGACAACAGAACCCAGAGGCAGGCTTAACCTCCGCATTTTATTGCTTCTGACTCTCAATGTGACTGCCTTAATCAAGCTCCAAGCTTCCGCCACCACGTAAGAGCAATCTTTCGTCAACACCCCTTCTTCATCTTCGCTCTCTACCAAAAGTTTCCTTACAAGATGGCTTCTCTAATGGCGTTTCATGGTTTCGATAACAAAATGGTCCATTGGTTGCAACAAACTTGTGACCTTTAGCGGTAAAAAGATTGTTGTAAACTGGCCATTCCCTCTTTCAAACAATTCACTGCTGGGGTGAGTTGATGCATTATCAACAATCAAAAGAACTTTACTGCCAAATTTCCCAAGATATTTTTTGGTGCTTTTTCACTTCAGGGATGAAAATTTCGTAGCACCACTCGGTCTTAATTTTTTTCTTAAACTCAGAAAGCCATTCGGATAGTCGGAGTTCGAATAATTGGAGCTGTTCTGTATATACACTTCAGTAATTATACGGATTTTCCTAATTATTGTTTGATTCGGAAATTTTCTGATATCAAAAATTGTTTTATATGTGGACAAAAAATTTATTTCTTACAAAAATTCAGGCTTCCTAAACCAAATTATACTTTTTTACATATTATTTTTAAATACACAATCACTTATTGATAATAAATATTTAGCGTCCTAAGAACAAAGTGCCCGAATTCCCGAAAACGTATTCTCTAGCAGAAGATGAAAATACAGCAGAGAACTCTTCACTTACATTTTACGTACCATAAGATGTGCGTGGAGCAAGTTGAAGGGCGTGTTAACTGAAGGAGAGAAGAAAAAGAAGAAAAAGGAAAAAGACGCTTAAGAAAAGGAAAGGGAAGAGACAAGAGAAGATGAGGATGACGTGCCAGTTGAGGGATTAAGAAACCTTCTTTTGAAAATTCCTGCATGTTCAGAAGTTAATGCTGAGGATTCAGCAGAATGGATGGTGTGTGATTCGTCAGACCCTGGGTTTAAAATTCCAAATGATGACGAACTTATTGAAAGTGTGAGAGAAGAAAGTGCCGAGGAAAAAGATGACCTTAACCAGGCGTACTTAGAAGCGGTGTAAAACCTGGGTCAAGGACCCTAACCCTTGTCGAACATGTAGGTTTTCTGTCATGAGTAGCTAACATAACATATAATAATTTTCTTTTATAAATTATGATCATGTTTTTGAGTAATGGGATAATAAGACATTCTAGCTGAAATAAAGTGTGCGCCGAGTTCCAATAAAGACCTGAAAATGCCAACTGGGAGAGCTGAGAAAGGGGAAAAGAGCTGGCTTTAACCTGAGTCTAGAGATACACATAATACATACATACATACAATACAGATAGTGTGAGTCAACTGGTGCACTTAAATAATAGTCAACTGGTGCACTTAAATAATAAGTCATCCAGTATAGTACAGATAAAGTAAGTCAAATTAAACAATATGAATACTAAGTATGGTTTTAGGCCGTTTACAATTATTTAAGTCATTTACATCATAATCGTTGATCCTTACAACAGGGTTGTTGATATTTGCGAGGTTAGCATAAAAATTCCGGGCAAGCCGGCAATAAAAATATTTCAGTTCTTCAATACCTAATTCATCATGAAGTTTCTGATTTCGAACGTACCAGGGCGAGTTGGTGATCTGTCTTAGGACACAATTTTGTGCCTGCTGTAACTTTTTCCTATATGATTTGTATGAATATGCTGAAACCGGTCAGGCATAACATAGTATGGACGCAATGCAGTTTTATAAATAAGCAACTTGTCATCTATTGAAAGTACACTTTCGAGAAATGAAGGGGTGAAGTGTAGCTTTACTAACTCGAAACTTTTAAGGATAGATGTTATGTGTGGGTGCCATAAGAGAGTTTTACTCAGGATCACTCTGTTGGATATGTGATACTTTCGTTTGTGCGCGCGCATAACGGATTGAACTGATTACGTAAATTTTAACCGCGCGCTCAACGATTTATGATGTAATCAGTGTTCTATTTTTAGTTTAGTTTTTTTTTGAATGCCTTACGAAATGGATGCGTAGTTTTTGATCTCTTAACCTCTCTTTTATAACTTATGTACAGATTAAAGTTTTAAAAGCTGAATCTGTGCGTGTGTTTTGGATATACCTGAATGAAGAACCCGGTGATTCAGGTAAGTGCTATTTTGCTTACCTACTGTTGGAATGTTTTACGCATTGATTAATATTGCCTATTGAATTGACGCAATACACCCCAAGATGACTTGCTTGGCCCATTGGGATATCTTTCCCGTAAAGTTGCAGGTTTTTATTGAATTTGTTCTTCTTGGTAAAAAAGATTGCTTGAGTCTTATCTACATTAACTTTGATCTTCCATTTCGTCAGCCGAGTCTCGAGTATGTTTATGTAGTTTTGCAATTGTTGTATTGCTGGGGTAATGAATGCACTCTGTGAGAGGATCGCAGTTTCGTCTGCATACATTGTAAATGTTGTCTTCTGTGTGGTGGGAATGTCATTCACGTAAATATAGAATAAAGTGGGTCCAAGCAGATACCCCTGGGGGACCCCAGCAAGAATTGCCTACGTGTTGATAGTGTATTTGAGACGCCACCGACAGTGTCTACCGGTTAGGTAGGATTTAACTATGCTTGTGATGTAGCCTGGGAAGCCCAGGTTGTGTAGTTTGTAAATGAGTGAATCTAGCCATACACAGTTGAAGGCCTTTGCTATGTCCAGGAACAGACCTCCTGTAACTTTCTTATTCTGCAGCCCTTCGCTGACGAGTTCCACAACCCGATATAGTTGGTTGACCTTCGACTGTCTGCTTCAGAACCCAAACTGATGAGGTATTATTATACTACTTTGTTCCAGATGTCGAAGCAAACACGGGACCATCCATTAGTGAAACGTATGCCGACCTTGAAATTGCGTTGAAGTAGATGAAGCGTCAGCCCGAGTGTGACCACATGCAACTTTTCATTGTCCAGTGGATGTGCGACTTGGCTACTCGAAAACAGATAAAGATAATCAAACAGCTCATGTTGAACGAGATGTTCAGCAAACAATGACTTTCAGTACTTGTAAGTACTTTATCAGCACTTTTATGCCAAATTTGAATGCAAACGGTTTTTCATGCTTAAATATTTATTTCTCCAAAACTCTTCAATAAAAATTCAAATTTTGAAAACATATATTTTAAAATGGTATGCAAATTTTAACAAAGTAATATAAATAATAATACATTATTATATTTTTTTAATATATATTGTTTATATTTTTTAATGTAAATTGGAAGGATGGAGGAAATCTCACCTTAACTTGTATTAAAGCTAAATTTTTGATTATAGAAAAAGAAAGCATATAGACCTATTAAGATAAGCTATATCGTCAATAACTGAGGAATTAAAATCCTGAGTGTTATCTTTAATAAAAATAATTTGTCCGATTTTTCAAAATTTGGTATTCAGGCATATTTCAAGGCATAGAATTAAAGTATAGGGGGTAGCATGTCCTTTTTAAAAATTTTAGTTATTGCAATATTATGTAACAATCTAATATACACTCATACGGGGGGGGGGAAACGAATGTTTCAAGACAGGAAAAAATGCAAATTAAATACTTTTCATCAGCTGAATAAAATGATACCCTTCCCCTTTAGTTTGGATTTATTTAAAATAAACAAACATATTTAACTTACATGTAACTGAAAAATAAATGAATAAATGCTTCTAATAACCACTAAGCAATATATAAAATATGTTATACAGTCAAAAGTCGTTAATTCGGACACCCATAATCCGGATCTCAAAGCTACAAACTTTCTGCGCATGTGCGTAAGACCTTTACGGCTGCGAATATGCGTGTGTGCATGCGCAAAATACGTTTACGAATGCGCGTTTAATGTATAACGGACGGTATAAGCTAAGCTAAAATTATCTAATTAAGTTAATGTTGCAGATTGCGTTGTTTCTTAATCTTCGATTTGGATCCGGCTTATTATTTTTTGCAGACTGTTAGAGCAATTTTATAAAAGTAAGCTTGAACTTTCGATTATGTCAAATAGAATTTCTGATATATATTTACTAATATGCAAAGGATCTACAAAGCGAAAGTATGTTTTGAAGTCCATTAAACAAAAAGTGCAATTGCTGCAAAAAATGGATAAAGGCATATCCTTTGTTTATCTAACCATTCCGAAATCTGTTTTATCAATTTCACGCTGCTCTGCGGAGGGGGGGGGGGACGCCGCGGCGCGCAATGAATTGGAAGTTGATCTGTCAGCACTATCCTTATCTTCGGGGCAGATGTTTTTATTTTATTTGGCTTATAATTCCTTACTAATTGTAGTATTTCATCTCGATGTACTCCGTCTTTGATATGATTTAACCTTTTGAGGCCGGGGTATGGTAGCAGTAAAAGCTACCAAAAGACGGGAAATCTTGAACCGAATGCTTTCCCCCCCTTTAAGAAATCACCTCCTATTTGCAACAAAGATTCTTGTGTAGTTTAATGGATTCTCAGAGGGGTGCATCTATGTCGCAAAAAGGAGATCTTTGAAAGAGATAAGTGGTTGAAAACCCACGGACATCAAATTTGACATTTCACCCCACTTTTCAGCCTGTAAAATGGGGGAAAAAGACATGGCCATTAAAGTGGACAACCCCGTCCATTCAAACAGGGAATACAATTGCCAATATATTGGCCATCCGTCTACAAAAGGTTAAATCAAATTCCTTGTCATTATAATTCGCTTCCGATAGCGAAGAGTGTGACACAGAGGTTATTGAAAACGAAAAAATTTCGATTGACAAATTAGTCGGTATTCTCGACACAGCAATTATAGGACTTCAACAGTGGAACTTTGTAACTGAACAAGTCTGTTTATAGAATTAAAGAGAAAGTATTATCACATAAAAAACGAAGCAACTTAAAACAACTTACATTGAAAGAAATGTTTAATAAAGTAAACAAATAAATATTAAGCTTTTTCTTTTTGTAAATTTTGATACCCTTTAGATCATAACTGTTCTTTATTTCATAAATTACGGTTTCATATTTTTAATTTTGTAATTTCTGCATGCCATCTTACGAGATTTAAACTGATGATCTATAATCCGGAAAAATCGATAATGCGGAATCGCCGAAGTTCCGATGAGTCCGGATTAACGACTTTTGACTGTAATAAATATATGGACATATTTAATTTTATGCTCAAAAAGGAATTTTACATTTAATTTAATCATAAAAGGAACTTGAGAAATATTCTTTGGATTAACTTTTCCTTCTTTAGATGTGAAATTTATTATTTTGAAAAATTATAAAATAGTGCAGTAGAAAATATTTCCAAGCACATATCTGTCACTTGTAATTTTTATATTGTCTTTTCATATTCAAAAAATACATGGTGTATATCTTCCACATCATATATATATAACTTAAACTAAAAAAGAACTTTGTGATCAAGAATTTTGCAATTTGAGCTGCAAAAATTAGAAAACAAGGTAACAAGAAATTCTTCATGCTTCCGCTTAAAAGTCGCTGTGATACTGTGGTTCCGTTGAAAAAATTTTTTAACATAAGTTAAAATAAAGTGCAATGAAAAGTGTAAATACAAAATAAACGAAATTATCACTAGAATATTTACAAATAATAAGCATATTTAAAACTCAAACCAAACTGGAAGTAATATGTTGATTAAAGTTAAGACAAGCTTTAAATATTTGAATAAAAATATATTTGTTATAAAACGCATAAGCAATATACATATGTGTGTGACTGGCAGAAATCAAATAAATAGCGCGAGAATGTTGAAGTTTGAGAAGACTTGGAATTAGGTTTGCGATAATGAAATACAAAATCAAAATACTGACAGATATCTTAAATTCGAATTAAATTAACCATTCTTAACTTTCATTTTAGAAATCATTTAATTACTACAAAACTATTATTCTTCAAAAAACTTCGAAAAAAAAAATAACATATGAAAAATAAATCTGAAAGGTTTCAGAATTTGTTGGTTGCTGAAAAGGGCTTAAGGTTTTTTGTGCTGTCACTCAGCTCAGTGCGAGCTACCAGCCTGCTTTTATACTCACTCTGGCTAATCCTTTTTTTTTTTTTTTTTAAGCTTATTATTAAGCATAATTTCTTTACACTTACTCCACATATATATGTGCATAAAAATCAGAAAATATTTAAAAGCAGCATATTTTTAGAATTCCTGATGTGTTGGCATTCATTTATTTCTATTTTTTTTTTTTTTTTCAGTCTTTTCTCAGTTTATCATATCAATGTCAGTTTTTGGTAAGATGCTTTACAAAACTTCTTTTAGGTCTTTTTATTATTAACATTTTGTGTGTTAACTTTATCAAATATCACATTCTTTGCCCTCATACCACATAAAATTCAACTGAACAGAAAAATTACACTATATTTAAAAATATAACTTTAGAACTTCCAATAATTTTTATATTTGCTTTTTCTTTAAAAACTAGCTGCTTGCTTGGTCAGCCACCTACAATAGTTATATAAAAAAAAGAAAAAGTATATAATAATTTTAATGAGTCCAGCTAGTGTAATTTCATAAACATTTATTGCTTAGTTTGGTACTCAAAAACCTTTCAAATTAAATTCCAAAGTATATCAGACTTTACTGAATGGCAACATTCTGGTGCATGGGAGATAAAAGTATTTTCTTTCCAACAGTGGCAACAAACTGCTTTCATTGAACTGACTTTGTTTAATAAAAATTTCATGAAAGTTTTACAAAATATGAAATAAAAAATAAAATCGAAATTCCAAAATTTGGGCCTCTAAGTGCACATGTTTGGATGGAGGATTAAGCTATTAAAAATTTGATGGCTCTGGTTATTTTCTTACAATTTAATTTCTTTAAAAAATAATACATGGCAATAATATTTGGCAGTAACAATCTGAAAAAAGAATCAGCCATTTAAACAAACCTACATTTATAGTAATATGCTGCAAAATCCAAATTTCGAGATTAACAGCAACTATAGGGCTAATAACTTTTTGAAATATTCAATTTACTTAACATAATCATAAATAAATTAAAAATTTTAGAAACATATAGCAGCATTATGGTTGAAGAAAAAGCAAGAAAATATTTTGAAAATGCTTTTATTTACAAAGATACAATGTTTAAAAAATAAATACTTCTGGAAAGTTAACACAACTCACCAGGATATTTGCCCAGCATTATATATTTAAAAACAGTATGGAAAGGAAAAATATGAAAATTCTCACATATGTACAAATTTTCATTTTTTACACTCCACATGCTTAACAGAAATCGGAAATATATTTTTTCATACATTAAACAAAAAATAACAAGCATACATTTTATAAATTAAATGCGTAATCATTGACTTGAACATAAAAATAGTTAAAAGAAGAGACATTATTTACATATTATCCAGTCAACCAGCCAAACAGTACGTTTTAGTGTCAATTACAGATGACTACTTCCTTTAGAATTCTGCAGTAATGACTGGTGATTGGCAACCATTAACGAAATTTCTGCCAACAATCAAAATGATAATACGTAAGTACCGAAGAGACTATTTGAAGATAAAACAAATTTATTTCATCACGAAAATTTAAACATTTTTTTTTTGAAAAAAAAATTGAGATTGAGAAAAACCCTTTAAAAAATTTAAAAACTTTTGATAACATTATGCAACAGAAATTGAAAAATATATTTAAACATACATCCTGACATCTCTATGTGTAAAACAAGATAAGATATTATCACATGAGCTTTTAAGGCTTACATGGGTTTTGTGTGAAAATACTATCCACAGACTAAAAGGAAAATATAAAACAACTTTTATTATTATCCACTATGCTACACTAACAGCAATATCATCATATAGCATGTGGTAAAAGAAAATTTTTTTTTTGCAAAAAATTTGCAAAATAAACATTTTTTCACAACATGAAAAGTAACTGCTCCATGAACTTTCTATATTACTACCAACCAGGCTACCAATTTTTCCAGTAACAGTAATGATTTTTCTTCTCATTTGATTCCACATGAATCAAATGCTTTTATAAATATTTT